GTGTGTGTGTGTGTGTGTGTGTGTGTGTGTGTGTGTGGTGTTTCCCAGCACTGCTACTGAAAGGGCCAAGAAATGAAGACACCGTTGTAGCTATAAGCATGCCCAGCACCCGGAGCCCACCATACAAACCAGAGCTTTTTTTGACAGTCAGTTTTAGGGCGACAGTAGGGAGGGTGTATCAAGATGAGCCTGGGAGAGTTTGTAGGGACAAACGATGAGGTACTCAAACTAATGATAAGAGTATGTCAAAGGGTACAGGAGGCAGCCAAAAGGGGTCAAATTTGGAACATAAATAAAAGGGAACAATGCATTCTAGATTATAGGAAAAAATACATATTAATTTCATACTAATTATGTGCCAATTGGCAAAAGGGAGTGCAGAATACCAAACTATATGTGGAAGGAGTGCCAGAGTTAGACAATCACCAATTTTCAACAACCAGAGTAAAGACTGGTTTGAGCAAGAACTGACAACGGATACTACACATAGTATGGACATTTTGACGAGCAGGGTATTTACATGATTTTAAAGAGTCTCCCCATAAACTGCTTGCAAGAGGAAAAATAACTATACAATGGATAAACTGAACAACATTTTGACTGAGTGATTAAAATCAACCTCACCAACGAGAGGCAGGCAGGCAGGCAAAGGTGATTGAATGGGATACCCTGAGGACACAACTTCACTTGTATAGTACTCTGCCCAGGAGGGCGTACCCTGAACCTAAGCATAAGGAAACATCAGACAAGCCAATAGGAAGAACATTCTAATAACATAAGGGGTTAAGGAGCTCTATTCCGCCCCCCAAAATGCCAATGCCATAAAAGATGATGGAAGTCTGAGAACCTGTTTTAGATCAAAAAAGAATAAAGCCACATGGATCATAGATTAAATTACTGTTTCAATATTAAATTTCCTGTGAATAATAAGAAAATGTCCTTGTTCTTAGTGAAAACATACTTAAGTTTTTAGGGGTAAAAGTGAATGATGTATTCAACTTACATTCAAATGGTTCAGAAACCAAACAATGCATAAAGAGAACCAATGGGCCCAGCCGGCTTGCTCAGTGGTTAGAGCGTCAGCCCGTGGACTGAAGGGTCCTGGGTTTGATTCTGGCCAAGGGCATATATCTCAGTTGCAGGCTCGATCCCCGGGACACCTGCGGGAGGCAACCAATCAAAGTGTCTCTCTCATATCGATGTTTCTCTCTCTCGCTTTCTCCCTTCCACTCTCTCTGAAAAGTAATGGAAAAAATATCCTCGGGTGAGGATAAAAAAATAAAACAACAATAAATAAATAAAGAGAACCAATGATAATACAAGTAGGGTAAAATGTTACCAACATATCCACATCCTGCCATAAAGGGTATAGAAATTCTCTGTACCACTCTTGCAAATTCTCCGTAAGTTTGCAAGTATTTTCACATAAAAACCTTTTTAAAATGCTTACATTTCTCAGTGCTTCATAAATAGCTCTAAATGCCGGTTGCTTATTATCATGGTAAACACCTCTGTTCCCATGAAGAATAAAGATTCCTTCTTCTTCTGCTTCTTGGCAATTGCTTCCGTATATACAATGATCTGGTCGATAATTCCATTGACATGGAAAAACAAAAAGGCTTTCTATGTGAAGAAACACAAAACAATTAAGCAAATAACCCTAATTCCACAGAATTAACATTTCACAAAAATTTTAGTTTAAAAACATAGCCCTGAGAAAATAAAATTTAAAATAACAAAAAATATGTTTGGCATTTAGATCTCTTCCTACTAAATCAATATTCAAGTTTTATTCTGTCTTTAACATAAATAGTGATAATCATTAATATAAGCCAAAATCAAATAAATGCATTTTTTCATTTTGATTAAACACTATCTATAATTTTTTACAAATGCTAAGAATTAAAGAAATTAAATGATTACCTGGATTATGAAAAAATATGATATTCAACAGATCTTGATCGCCCCATGTGATATTCAGTTTGTATTTTTTGAGCAAAGGCATAAGTATATCCCCCCATCGTAGTCGTGCAGTTGTCATATCATTCTGTTGGTAAACACATTAAAAAGATCCTCAGGCTTCCAGGTTCAAAATGATGACAGTTCCCCACTCTTCCCTTAGCAATCATTATAGAACAAGAAGAAACAAACCTCTTTTGTTACAAAACCCAGTGACACTCATGTAAACCTTAATGTGAGTAAGGCTGTCCAGCTGGAGTGGGGAAGGTAACAAAATCAGCTATCTAAAGCTGCATGTAGAAGTGATAATACTAACAAAGTCGGGAGAGTAATGGAAAGAAAAAGTAGGCAGTAGTCTAAGTCCTATGACTGTAACCTCATCTAAAGATGCAGAGCATGTTAGTACCTATGTCTGATGTCCAGAAAAAGTACCTCTGTCTATGTCTATGTCACAGAGTTGTTGAGGATTAAACCTATTACAATATGCCCGGCCCGGCGTGGCTCAACGGTTGACCATCAACCTATGACCCAGGAGATCGAGTTTCGATTCCTGGTTGGGGCACATGCCCAGGTTTCAGGCTCAGTCCCCACCGGGGTGTGCAGGAGGTAGCCAATCAATGACTCTCTCATCATTGATGTTTCTCTCTCTCTCCCCCTCTCCCTTCCTCTCTCTGAAATCAATAAAGATACATTAAAAAAACAAACAACAAAAAAACTTATTACTATATAATTAAAAGTACTTGGCACAGTACCTGACATATGGTACGTATGCAGTGAACTATCATTGTTGCTATGATCATTATTACTCTTAAACTGATTTGCTAATCTCCCATAATTGGCATTTCAAAGAGATCATTTAAAATTGATATTATCAAAAATAGACACTATATTTCATCAGTTGCCTTTCAGCCTCATAGCTCTATTTTATAACACAGAGTCAAATACCTAAGTAAACAAGAGAACTGAAAGAGGGCCCTGGATCATATGAATCTGGAATGTGAAGGGATAGAGTTGAATAGTAAGCTTCTGATACCTATTTGACTCTCAAACTCTCCAGACTTAAATCAGTAGTCCTCAAAGTGCAGTTTGCAGCATGACAATCAGTGAATTTTTTATGCACTCCACAAGTACAGAAATTTAAAAATTTAGAACTTTTTTAAAAATATTTTTTTATTCATTTCAGAGAGAGGAAGGGAAAGGGAGAGAGAAATAGAAACATCAATGATGAGAGAGAATCATCAATTGACTGTCCCTGCACACCTACTGGGGATCAAGCCCCCAACCCAGGCAATGTGCCCTGACTGGGAATCGAACCATAAACTCCAGGTTCTTGGGTCAACACTCAACCACTGAGCCACACCAGCTGGGCAAAAGATTTAGAACTTTTAGAGCAATTTAACAGAATAATTTTATGTCTATTTAATCTAATATTTTAAAATAACTTGTTTATATCATTTTTAGAAAAGTACTGGCTCATGACAGATTGTAAATTAAAAAAAAAAACTAATCCTTCTTCGAAGTTTAAAAAGCACTGTTGTGAGCTATTCTAGGATAAACTCAGTGGGGATATAAACAATTAATTCTTAAAGGAAGAGAAAGAAAAGCTAGAATTCCTGAAGAAGAAAAAAACACATTTAAACTAAATATGATCTACTATAATTGTATTACCTTTGTGTGAAGTTTGTCAGAATGCAGTAATTACAAAATAATCAAAAGTCCCTCCCCCAACAATCTGGAAAATAACTGAAACTAGTTTCACTTAAGGAAATAAGAAAATACTTTATTGAAAGGATGACTCTGAAATAAGTCATTGAGCAGGTTAACAATATGTTCTTAGAATCTGAAAACGGAAAAATGAATTGCACAAAGACAAAGACCAGCAACACATTCAATAGACAGGCCTGGTGGACCCCCGGTACCCTGCCATGTTCCAGCCTTCACCGGGTTCAGTCTATTCAAATATAGACAGATAGATTTATACACACACACACACACACACACACCCCTATTCTAAGAAAAATCAATGAATGATATATTACAAGATCCAGTGTAGTCTTGGTGGGGGGAAAACCCTTTATAACTTAAAGAAAAATCCCACTAGAAAAATAATGGACAAGAAGCAACAACACTAATATTATTTGCTGATGATATAACCTAGAATATTCAAGACAACCAATGAAAAAACAATGAGATATGAGTTTAATATAAAGGCATTATATATAAAAGGAGTTCAAGTCAACAGAATTAGAAAAACAATCAGTAGAGAAATGGTCTAAGGATATGGAAAAATAGCCATTCACAAAGGAGGAAAAAGTAGAGGCTAAAAATTATGTAACATTTTTATCTACACTGATAGCAGTCAGAAAAACACAAATTGAAATACTTATTTTTCAGCCATGTAACTTCCTGTTCATACTAGTATACACAAACAATAAAACCCAATCATCCATTCTCCACAATACCACAAACACATTAGAAACAAATGTGATAGACTACATGCATTGACAAAAAGCAGTCAATTATATATTTACTAAGTTAAAAAAGCAAGGTGAAGATATAAAAAAGGACCCTATATACAAGTGCTAATGTACAGGTGTATCAGTTTCAAATTACATTTTTTAAAGGGTATGAAGAATATGTTATATAGCAAAGTTTATGTCATTTGGGCAAAAAAATGAAACTGGGGAGAGTGGTGTGTAAAGGGGGAACTTGTTTTTTGACTCTACATGCAATGAATTGTTTACATTTTTATAAGCATGATTTTAGTTTTGTAATTAAAAAAACAACAACACAGAGGTTGGCACAAGTAGGTTTACAGTTGTGAGTACTCAAAACAGTTTATTCATGTATCATTATTTATCAATTATTGTATTATTTTCCACACCCCATACATAGTTCTAATTTACTAATTTTAGCAAACTTACTATTAAAATGTGCATGTATTATATCAAGATCAATTACTTTCATTTTTAAAATTACATATGCTTTTGAAAATATACAGGCTCATTATTATTATCAGTTTTCCTTATAAATATAAAACTGATAGGTGGCTACTCATATTATATTCCAACAATGCTAGAAACAAACTCATCAATTCCCAAAGATTAGTTACCCCACTAATCTCTGAAAAGTTCTATCCCTTTTGGTAAGAGGTTCATTGATATTCTGTTCTCATAAGGTATAGTATATATAAACCAATTAAAGTCCTATGTCACATACATCTTTCAAATATGTAAAAACAGCCATTATGTCTATCTCATAGTAAGTGTTCTCTTTTCCAGTGTTTTCAATAATTTATTAATGGCCTGGTTTTTGTTTTTGTTTTTTTAATATATCTTTATTGATTTCAGAGAGAGGAAGGGAGAGGGAGAGAGAGAGAGAAAAACATCAATGATGAGACAGTCATTGATCGGCTGCCTCCTGCATGCCCCCAACTGGTGATCGAGCCTGCAACCTGGGCATGTGCCCTGACCAGGAATTGAACCATGATCTCCTGGATCCTAGGTCGATGCTCAACCACTGAGCCATGCCCAGTGGGGCAAATGGCCTGGTTTCTAAAGATTCACCTGCCTTTTGTCAGTGATCATCTATAGAGTTGCTACTTTATGCTGGATTCCATGCTAAATATTCTGAATACAAAGTTGAACAAAAGATACTCCCTGCACTCAGTGGGTGGAGAAAAAAAGACAAAAATTACTTTTCAAAATAATATATGACAGAACATGAAGAGGGTACTGTAAACACACAAGAAAAGGATTCTCAAGGTGCCTTACTTATATTCTTTGTTTTTTCTCTAATAAATAGAAAAAATTGAAGGAATAGTCTAATAGGGATTGAACACTGCACATACAATAACACAAAACACAAAGAAATAGCTTAACCAGCATTATATCATTGTCTATCAAGCACTATGATAAGCAAAGAACAAAAGAGTAGAATTTTTACTATTTATAATATACATAACTATAATACATCAGGTTAGAACTGAACAGTCAAGGATGGTACAGAATGGGAACAGCAAAGCAGTAAGAGTTTAAAACACTGCCATTGTCCTAAATGGGTAGTCTTACAGCTTTCCATGTGGTAAGAACTACGGGACAACATTCATGGATCTGTGAAACAGTTTAGAAAGTTATTACAAGTAATTCGGTTATACACTAGAGTTCTAAAATTTAAGATCTGTGCCAGAAATTGTAGAATTAGGAAAAAACAAGGCAATGTTTGCTACAGATATAGCCTGGAAAACAATCAGGCAAAGAAAGAAAGATTATGAAAAAGGAATTAAAAGCTCAATAAATTTTGTAGAAGTACCCTAGCAATCATAAATGTAATATTTGAAAACAAAGCAAATTTGCGTAGTTCCCACTAAGCAAGAATAGGGTTGCTTGGAACAGAGATAGTAGGTGTGAAGCAACTTGTACCTACTAAATTAATGTACAATCGTGCCTCTCATATTTTTTCTTCATTAAGTCATTAATGCACAGAAGAAAGCTAATGTTTGAAAGTTTAGAAAGTATTTCAACTTCCATCTCTGCATCTCCAGCTGGTTTAGAACATGCCACAGGCAAAAAAAGGGGGGGAGGGGGGAGAGACTAGACTGTTAAAGTGTTTAAGAATGACATTTAAGTAAGTGAAAAGTAAGCAAAAAAATAATCACAGATTTGAACTATATAGTTGTATTTTGAAATTTTTAAAAAATTGAACAATGGTGTTATACTAAATGATCTCTAAGGCTCTTTGCAACACTAACTTTCTCATAATTCTGTGAATTTCAAATGAAGGGTTACTGAGAAGTCACATTATTCCTTAGCAGATAATCTTACAGCACCATCTTCTGGTATAATATTACTGTGCATAGAAAAGGAAGAAAACTCATGATTTTACACTTTGTTTAGCAAAATTCATGGTACATGAAATTTTAAAACTCATTAACAAATTGGGTAACTGTTTGCTCACTGTTAAGCAAGAACACAGGTTACACCAGCCTCATTAATGCATTCATTTGTGGGAGACAAAGGTAAAATGAAATAGATTTCAGAAAGGTTCAGAAAATGGAAAAGCACCCTAGATTTACTAGATCTATGGAAGGAAAGAGTAATGGGTATAAACTGTCCTAAGACTGAAATGTCAAGACGTGGGTGGTGGTGGCATCACTGCTGCCTATACCAAGGATAAGAGGGAACAACTCTAAATGAGGGAAGATTTAAATCAGAAAGGAATAATAAATAATGATGCAAATTCTTTTTTTTCTTAATATATTGTTATTGATTTCAGAGGAAGGGAGAGGGAGAGGGAGAGGGAGAGGGACAGAAA